TATATATAAAAGTATAAAATAAATAAATGGAAGTATATTTAGTCAACAAAAGAAAGAATGCTGAAATTTCCCTGGCAGCCCAGTGGTTAAGACTGTTCACGTTCCAGCGCAGGGGTTCCGGTTCCATCCCTGGTGGGGGAGCTAAGATACCACATGCCTCATGGCAAATAAACAAACAAAAACAAAAAATAGAAACAACATTGAAACAAATCAAATAGATACTTTTTAAAAAATGGTCCACATTAAAAAACTTTTTAAAAAATGAGACTGAAAATGAATTCTTGTCTTACAGGGTTATAAAACCTTACTCTCTGGGGCTTTCTTGTTTACTGGGCAGAAGTCATTCTGTCAGAAATTATTTTCTTTACCAGTCAAAAGTCATTAGAAATGGTCCGAACTGTGAACCAATAAATTTGTTACCCTAATCACTAACAGTCCAGTGGCTAAGACTTTGCTTTCCAATGCAACAGGGGAGCAGGATGCAGGGTCGATCCCTGGTCAGGGAACAAGATCCACATGCCTTGCAGTCAAAACACCGAAACATAAAGCAGAAGCAATACTGTAACAAATTCAATAAAGACTTTTAAAATGGTCCACATCTAAACAAATAAAAAAATTTTTAACTATGATAGTAATACTAAAATGATATAAACTGATAGCAATGCAAAAGATTCCTGCCTGGCAGATTACAGTTGATTATTTCTCTCTGGATACTGACCAGTTCTTTTAGCACTTCTGATCGCCTATATGCATATACTCTTGGAATTCTCCTTTGAACTGGCTGCAACATTTAATGTAAGGATCCTCTCATTCATAAATGAGTTAAATAAAATCTTGGACATCCTGGATCTGTGTAAGAACTGATTTTACTTTTTGAAAAATATTATCCTTCAGCACCCACTTTCCAAATTTGGAACTTCCTCTGAAAATTAGAAAAATCCCACCCCCCACCCCCGCCACAGAATGAGAGGTGATAAAAGGATGATTTCCAGCTTCAGTACCCTCAGAAATTCAGGAGTCCTCTGGATTATACTGCTAAGATAGCAAAATACAGACTCAGAGTTACCTCTCAAGAGTGTAACACGCTGGTTAGCAGGTCTGGCTTGTCAAAGCGAAAATCACACAGGATAAGTTAACAATCTTCATTCCAAGGTGTTTCAGGGCTTCCCTCTTGGCTCAGGGGTAAACAATCTGCCTGCCAATGCAGGAGACGTGGGCTCTATCCCTGATCTGGGAAGACCCCACATGCCTTGGAGCTACTCAGCCTAGGGGCCACAAATATCAATCCCGTGTTCTAGAGCCCAGGAGCCCCAACTACCGAGCACATGTGCCCTAGAGCCCACGCTCAGCAACAAAAGAAGCCGCCGCAACAGGAAGCCCAAGCACTGCATTGAAGAGTAGCCCCCTCTCTCCGCAACTAGAGAAAGCTGACATGCAGCAATAGAGACCCAATGCAGCCAAATAAATACAAAAATAAATAAAATTAGATAATAGTAATAATAAAAAAAAAAAGATGTTCCAATAAGGTGGACTTCCCTGGTGGTCCAGTGGTTAAGACACAGTGCTTCCACTGCAAGGAACACGGTTTAAGCCCTGGTCAGGGAACAAAGATCTCACATGCCTCACAGCATGGTCAAAAAATAGAAGGAAAAAAAAAGGGCATTCCAATTAAGAGACAGAGGCTAGAATTCGGTCTGAACTCAACTTGGCTGAAACATAGGCAGTTGAGTTTTTAAGAACTGGGGTGAGAAGTCGGGGTGGCAGGTCATCTCTGTTTGCTAATTGTCTTCACCCAAGGGAAAAGTAAACTGTCTTGCATCTGCAGGACAAGGAGCAGTGTCACAACTTGGAGCAAGGCCCCCACTGAAGTCAGGAAACTGGGAGACAGACGTACTGTCTCCTTTGATGTTTATATTTCAAAGAGATAGATCTCAGGTCCTTTCTAATGACAGTTCCTGGGTTGTAAAACTGGCAAGAGGCTCTTAGAGATTTATATGCAACCCACTTCAGTATTCTTGACTGGAGAATCCCTTGGACAGAAGAGTCTGGCAGGCTAAAGTCCACAGGGTTGCAAAGAGTCAGACATGACTGAAGTGACTTAGCACGCACGCATACATCTCAAAAGGGCAAAGAATTTATGACCACAAGTCTTCTAAAGTACATGCTCTAAGAAATAGGAGGTCGGGGCATCTGTGGTCAGGCTGTCTGGATTCTGGAAGGGATGACGGTGAGAGGGAGTAAAGTGGCTTAGAGGCAGAAAAAGTCTATCTAAAGTTTAGTTAAGCTGAGGGGAAAGTTACAGCGCTTGTGATCATGCTCTATAAAGCTGGTCAGCCTGGGTTCAAACTTGAACTCCATTGCTTATTAGCTGGGTGACATGAGGTAAGTTACTCAACCTCTCTGGGCCTAGTTTCCTCATCTTATAAAAAGCAGATGATTACTACTTAATTCATTAATATTTAATTCAAACAGCAGAGACATCACTTTGCCAACGAAGGTCCACATAGTCAAAGCTATGGTTTTTCCAGTAGTCATGTACAGATGTGAGAGTTGAACCATAAAGAAAGTTGAGCACCAATGAACTGATGCTTTCAAATTGTGCTGCTGGAGAAGACCCTTGAGAGTCCCTTGGACTGCAAGGAGATCAAACCAGTCAATCCTAAAGGAAATCAACCCTGAATATTCATTGGAAGGACTGATGTTGAAGCTGAAGCTCCAATACTTTGTCCACCTGATGTGAAGAGCCAACTCATTGGAAAAGGCCATGATGCTAGGGAAGATTGTAGGCAGGAGGAGAAGGGGATGACAGAGGATGAGATGGTTAAGATGGTGTCACCAACTCAATGGACATGAGTTTGAGCAAGCACCGGGAGATAGTGAGGGACAGGGAAGCCTGGTGTGCTGCAATCCATGGGTTCACAAAGAGTTGGACGTGACTTATCAACTGAACGACAATACTTAATTCACAGGATGCTTGGTTAGATTAAATATGTTAATCCAAGTACAGCCCTTAAACCACTACCTGGGACATAATAAATATATGACTTGCTGTGGTTTAAATTACTTTGCCGTTCCTAGCCTGCATTTCCCCAAATCATGCCATCTAAGAAGTATCTGGAAAATTAAATGAGAAGATGGATGCCACAACCTTAGCCCAAACTGACATCTGGTAAGACTCTTTTAAAGGATCAATATTCCCGTAACTATAGTTACCATTACTGATACTTGTATTATTTGTTGCTCAGGCTCTTATTCCCTATTTTGTTACAATAATCACTATTTACTATTATTAACTCACATACTCCCTATTGTGAATGGTAATATCAGCAATATTACTTTTTTTTTTTTTTAGCCACCCCAAACTGCTTTTGGGATCTTAGTTCCCCCACCAGGGATTGAACTCTGGCCCTCTGCAGTGAAAGCACAGAATCCTTAGGTCTTCCCTGGTGGTCCAGTGATTAAGACTCTGCACTCTCAATGAGAGGGCACAGGTTCAATCCCCGGTTGGGGAACTAAGAATCACATGCCATGCAGTGCAGTCAAAAAAAGAAAGAAAGCACGGAGTCCTAACTACAGGACTGCCAGCGAATTCCCAGTATTACTATCTCACTATTCCGTACATCCGGTCCCCCTCCGTCAGGCAGTCTGGAAGCCGGCCAGGGTTTCTCCTTCCCAAGCCAGGCTTTTCCTCGCTGGCCCCCCCCGACCCTTCATCTGATTGGAGAAGGTGGTGGTGAGACTCAGGCTCCAAGCTCCCAACGGGAAGCAAAGGCTGACAGCAGCACTTGCCAGCCCTTCGGACAGGTGGGATGCCTGACCGAGCACTGAATGATTCCTTTTTTCTTTTCATCATGAAGCGAGGCTATTTTTTCCTATATAATTTTTAAAGGTTACTTTCCATTTACAGTTATTTAAAAAATTGCCTATATCCCCCAGTTAGACAATGATTCTTAAGAAACCAGACAGCAAGGTAGGTAAACCCATGGTAAAAAGGTAGTTTTACCCAGGTAAAACTCCTCTCTGCTCCCAAGCATTGCTCACAGTCCCGTTCACTCCTCCACACTGCTCAGTGGTCTCACCCGGTCTCCTCCTCACCGGGTGGGCCAGCCTATGTGCACTGCTCAACTCAGGAGGTGAAAGGTGTTCAAACGCGACTTCCCCCAGGAGCTATAACTCTGGATCTCAGTTTCTCTATCTTGGTCTTGGCTTTCCCACCCTAGCTCAACTTCCCATGAGTCTGGTGTCAGCAGTGAACTAGGAATAACTCCTATAAAACACTACACAGGACTTCCCTGGTGGTCCAGTGGCTAAAACTCCGCATGCTTAGACTCCTTCAAGGCAGAGGGCCCAGGTTTGACCCTTGGTCAGGAAACTAGATCCCATGTGCCGAAACTCAAAGATCCCTCACAACTAAGACCGGGCACAGTCAAATAAAGAAATAAATTTTTTTTTTAAATTTTAAAACAAATAAAACACTATACAAAGTAATGAAACTTTTATTGAAGGCTTTATGTGCCAGACGTTGACTAGACCAAGACATAAGGCACGGGCCCTGCTCTTGAGGAGCTCACAGTCTAGAAAAGAGAAGATGCCAAAAAAATGATTCCCACAAAGATGGATGGGCATGGGGGGTGCACAGAGCCATGACCCCCCCCCCCACCTCTCCTATTCCAGGTTGGCTGGAACAGAGAACAGAGAGCTTATCACCGTCTCTGCCTCCTTCCCTGGGACGGCTCTGACTTCCCACTGTCCTAAGCATCAGGACACCAGGGAGGGACAAAGATGCGGGGGATACAACTGCTGCCCTCAAAAAGCTAGAACATCCCGGCAGGATGTATATATATATGTACAACGGTAACTTTGTGTCCCAAAGCCGCAAACCAGTGCAGCAAAAGCTGGGGCGAACAGGGGCTGGGCCAGCCCAGTCCAGGGAGTGGGAAAAGAAGTAACGGAAAGGGAGGTATCCAGGGCCCAGGAAATAGGGCAAGAGGAGGAGAAGCTCAGAGTAGGGCGCCAGCAGCCACAGCCAACAGAAGAGCCACCCATCCCGCCCAAGGAGCCGCAGAGCCTTTACTATGGGGCACGTCTTTTATGGGGTACTGCCCCATATTTCTGCGGTCCTGGTGGCTAATAGCCCCTCCAGCCAAGCTATCTTCCTCTTCCCGGAAGGTCTCATGTCCCACCTCTTGTGGAGAAGTCTGGTTGGTCCGAGCTGGGGCGATGGGTTCAGTGGTGGAACGGGTGGTGGTAGAGACTGGGGTAGCTTTGGTGGTGACGGTGGAGGATGGGGCAGAGGTGGAAGTACTGACAGATTTGGTCGGGGCCAGGGTGGTGGACGGAGGTGGGGGCAGCAGGACAAGAGGTGGGAATTGAGGGGAGAAGTAGGTCTTGTTGCGGAGGTCCGAGTTACAGCGGGACCCCTGGCAGCAGGAGCCGCTGAGCATGAACCCTGGGCCTGTCGCTGAATCCCGGGTGCAGAACTCGTCCTGGACGCAGCCCCGGACAGGCAAGGACACAGTCACATTAGCTGCAGGAGAGAGACACGGGTAGGTCCATGGTGGGGGGGAGGGGGTAGGCACAGCCAGAACGAAACTTAGGGGCAACACGAGATCAAGAACATCCAAAACAGGTGGTGGAAGGGCTCTGCATCCATTAATCCCGGTGTCTCCATTTGGGCCCCACTTTGAGAAACACTGTCCCACTGTCTTTTGTATTCGGTAGACCACATTTCCCACAGGACTTAAGAGGAAAAATGTATAGAATGAACTACAAGTCCCACAATGCTTTGGAAGAAAGGTTTGAACTGGGATACAACACCTCTCAACAGGACGAAAGAGAAGAGCATTGCCTCCCTCTTCCTCCCCTGACTCCACCCTTGCCAAAATTCAGTCTTAGAGTCAGAACTCAGTTCAGTTCAGTAGCTCAGTAGTGTCTGACTCTGCAACCCCATGGACTGCAGCATGCCAGGCCTCCCTGTCCATCACCAACTCCCGGAGTCCAACCAAACCCATGTCCATTGAGTTGGTGATGCCATCTAACCATCTCATCCTCTGTCATCCCCTTCTCCTCCCACCTTCAATCTTTCCCAGCATCAGGGTCTTCATCTCCCATAATACACCTCGCAGAGGATGGGATTTGAAGAATTCGCATGGTTCCCTGGGGCAGAGACTTGGAGGCTGAACCACATCTCTCCTAATACTTCGGGGTGGGATAAAGTACTAGGAGACACTGACCTTTGAGTTTTAAGGACTAGATTCCCCATGATGCCTGGGCAGAAGCTTGGAGACTTAAATACATTTCCTATTGCACATCCTCCCATTCTGCACCTGGCAAGCCTCTGTGAAAACATATTTCTTCCAAAACTCTGGGATAAAAGCATTCCTATTCCCGTGATATCCTGGGAACAGGACTGCATTTCTCATGATGCTCTAGGACAAGCCACCAACTTAGGCCTACGGTTCCCAGAAGGCGCTTGAAGGTGGGGGAACACTTTGGGTAAAGGGGTGCTATTACCTACCACCCATGAGGCCTCAGAAAAGGCTACCACGACCCGTGCAGGCCAGGTGCTTTGGAGCTCTGCTCACCTGCTGTCAAGGTTACATTGCCGTCGAAACAGCCTTTGTAGAAATGGTCGCTGGCGTTGTAGCAGCTCACGACGGGCGGCGCCCTGCCCTGGCACTCCTTGCGGCTCAGCCCCACGCAGCTGTAGCACTCGACGCCGTTGGGCTGGTAGGCACTCTCATTGCCTGAGAGGGGGCGAGGAGGAAAGAAGCGGTCCAGGGGGTTCAGGAAACACTGACCTGCTCCGGGTCACTCAAGTCCACGTCTCCGCCCTTCGACGGACAAGCAGCTCGGCCTCTAACCCCGCCCCCAGGGCGTGACTCCGCCCCCAGTCCTTGCGGAGTTTTCCCGCCTCCTGCTTGCTGCCTCCCCGGGCCGCTCGGCCCAGGTGTGGCTCCGTCCCTGGGCCTGCGGCTCCGCCCCCACCGACCTGCGGGGTTGAGCGCTCTCGAGGTGAGGTTGAGTTTCGCGTTACAGCGGTCCTGGGGACATTGCTGCAGCTGGATGAAGGCCAGAATCCCGTAAAGGTCCAGTCCGCGGTCATTCTTGCCGGGGAGTCCCGAACCGCAGCCCCGCACTGCCACCGAGAATTGCCCGTGGACTGCGAAGAGGGGAGGGGGCGGGGTCATGGGGCGGGGCCTATGGGCGGGGCCTATGGGCGGGGCCTAAAATAGACCCTCCCCAGAAGATAGGCAGGCCAGGGCGGGAGCACAGGGGAGTGGGGGTTCAGAAGGAGCAGATCCGAGGGGAAAGAACAACGGACTTGAGAGATCTGAGTATGAGGGGACAGAGAAGCTGACAGATGCTGTACACAAAAGCTGGGATTGGTAAGAGTGGAGATAAGAAGGGGCACGACCACAGGGAGTCTCACCCGGAAAGCAACATCAGAAAGAACCTGAAACTGACGAAAAAGGCACAGGATCAGAGACAGATGGAGCCTCCTAGGAGCTGCGACCTCAGACAAGGGAGGGTCAGAGGGACCCGGAACCTCAGCCTTGGGACCCTAGGAGAGTATCTCTAGGGTGGGTCTCCATCACAAGGGCTTCATTGGATGGGGGAGGCTTGGTCGGGGTGGAGAGGATTTTGGAAGGGCCAGAAGGCTATAGCGAGATCTCAGTGAGCCAGACTGTGCCCTTGAAGGAGATGAGGTCCCATATCTGGATTCTCCCAGGTCACCTCACCCCTGCGTAACGCTCAGTCCTCACCTCTCTAAGCCGTAAAGGCATGGGTGTGTTGAAAGGCCCAGGCCCTTGCAGACTGAAAGGGAAGAATGGGGATGCGTTCGAGTGGGTGTGGCCAAAGTTAGAAGGAGGGGCGGGACTATAATAAGGAGGCGGGGCCCGGATGGAGGCGCTGGTAGCGGGTACGCAAGGACGAGGAGGTCCCACTCACTCGTCTCCACGGCCCCCACAGCCTCTGTGCAGACTTCCACGCCTGGTGCACACTTCACCGTCTTCATCTTCTGCGGCGAGCACCCGTCATCTGCGTTCTGCACGCAGCTGTAACACTCCAGGGCCTTCGCTCCTGGGGGTGCAGAGGCAAATAGAACTGAGCCTCCCCAACTGAAGTCGCCTCCCCAGAGAAGAAATAGTCCTTCCCACTCCCTCTGGCCCTGCGCAACTGTACCGCACATGACTTTCCAGGGCAGGGATAAGGAAATGAGTGCGTGCTAAGTCGCTTCAGCTACCCTTTGGACTGTAGCCCGCCAGGCTCCTCTGTTCAAGGGATTCTCCAAGCAAGAATACTGGAGTGGATTTTATGCCCTCCTCGGGGATAAGGAAAACCTAGCCGGAAATCTGAGACGAGGAGATACATTGTGTCCTTTTCATGCCTACAGTGGGAGTATCTTTTTCTCAGCCCCTTATGCCCAAGATGGGGGATCCCTGACTTAAATGGGGGGACTCCTTCCTTCAGTTCTCCACTTAGGACGGGAGAACTTTACCCAGAGTCAAGTCATTCGGTGAGACATCCCTCCCCATCCAACCCCCGACGTCTACTCAGGATGGAAGAAAGTTTCCACAGTCCCTTCTGTCCAGGGTAGCAAATCCTTCCTAGAGCACCCCCTCCCCCACCGAGGCAGGTGATCTTTCCCACAATCCCCCTGTTTCAGGTGGAAGAATTTCCCCCACAGCTCCCTCTGCTCAGGACAGGAGATTCTTCCCGCAGCCCTCTCCATTGAGGGGTGCGGTGAAGGGGAGACTCTTCCTTAGAGCTCCCACTGTGCCCCCTCCGCCCCCTTCTGGCAACAGACTCACCTTCTGGAAGCAGCGGCGACAGCAGGAGCAGCCAGCCGGCGGTCCAGATCACTGCCCAGGAGCCTGCTCTCCCGGCGGGGCCCATGGTTCCGTCCTGCTCGCTCGGCTTCCCCCCTAGGTGTGCCGCCTCCCAACCCGGGTCCTCTTACCTGAGCCCGGGATGAGTAACCTCCCCCCAGGCAACCCTAGCCTTGCCCAACCGGGCCAAATCAGCGTCCGCTGTGGGGCGTGACCCCCGCCCTTGGGCGCGTCGTCACCCACAGCTGCCAAGGAGGGGAACGGGCGGGAGTCATGGTTCCCTGGCAGTTCCCAGGAGAAAGTCTGTGTGTTTGGCGGGGGAGAGAGGGGAGGACTGAGGCTCACAGAAGGGGTCTACTCAACACTCAGCATCCAGTAAATATTGAATGAGTGCAGGCTTGGGGTTGGGTGATGCTGGAAACTAAACAGAACCAGTATTGGTCCTCCCAGAGGTCACTTTCTGATGGGGGAGAAAGATACGAATTAAATAATCATCCAAATTGTTATTTCCAGCCAAGGCAATGAAGTGGAGGCAATGAAACCAAGGCCAAGGCAATGAAGTGGAGGGAGCTAAAAGGAGGTGTGGCGTCTACAATTAGGGGGCTGACCAGTGAAGCATCCCTGGAGATGTAAATCACTGAGTTGCGTGATAATCTTAGGGACTTGGAGGTTCAAACAGTGAAGCAGGTTGGGATGGGGGCAGAGCACATGGCAAAGCAAAGACAGCAGCAAGTGCAAAGCCCTCGGTGGGACGCAACATGGACCATTCAAACACAAAGAGGAGAGCAGTGCCCCTGGAGTTCAGAAGGTGAGGGGAGGGAGAGGGAAACTGAGGCACAAGAGCCAGGCAGGGGTCAGACTCTTCCAGGCATGCCAAGCCCTGCAGAGAGATCTGAATTAACTTTGAGAAAGCTGGAGAATGTTTCTAGGGATCTACATCTGTAGGCCACAATCAGATTTGCTTTTCGATCTGTCAGTCTGGCACATGATGCAAAAACTTCTCAAGAAATGAATTCACTAAATCCAAGGAATTACCCAGCAATGAAAATAGGTCAACTACTGGCCTGGGCAGCAACGTGAATCTCGAAAACTTTATGTTGAGCTCAAGAAGTCTTAAACAAATAAAAGATACCATGTGACTCCATTTCTATGGAAGTCCTAGAACAGGCAAAGCTAATCAGTGGTGATAGAAATTGGGGTTATTTTTGGAAGGTATTGCCCAAAAGATTAATAGTAAGAAGCCCCTACTGTCTTCATCTGGATGGCAGTTACACATGTAACAACATTTATGTAAAGAATCAACAAACTTTATGTTGTATATTTATGCACTTTACTGTGTGTACACTATTCTTACAAAAAGAAAGGGGAGGGTCTTCCTTGACAGTCCAGTGGTTAAGACTCTGCCTTCCTGTGCAAGGAGTGTAGGTTTGATCCCTGATTGAGGAGCTAAGATCTCACAGGTCTCATGGCCAAAACACCAAAACAGAAAACAGAAACAATATTGTAACAAATTTAGTAAAGACTTTAAAATGGTCCACATCCAAAAAAATCTAAAAAAAAAAAAAAACTGTGTTAAAAAAAAGAAAGGGATAAAGGCGGAGTGGAATGCCACTGTGGCCTCTGTAAAAAAAGACTATAATAGGGGTGAGAAAAGGAAGGCCGGAGACACGGGAGGGAGCAGGGCAGTCTCCCAGGTGAGAAAGACAGCAACAACCCTGACGACTGGGAGTTGGAGGCCTGTGTGCCCCGTTCCGCCCCTGCCCCAACACAGATGAGGCCCACACTGCAAGCGTGATGGAGTCAGGACCACTGCCTCCCACGTCTGAACACAGAAACAAATAAGAACTCTGGGCAAACCGCAAAGTGACTAAACATCCCCATATATAAACTAATGTAAGTGACTATGTATATTGTATATCATTTATATTCGATTATTATTTAAAGCTACAGCTTTAATCTTACTTTGTTTCTCCTGACTAATAGATGATATTTACCTGTGGCAGGAGAATAGCGGCTGTGTTCATAAAAATTTTATCCGTTCCCTGGACCCCATGGGGTACTTCCCCACACACACACACACTGCCAGCAATGACTAGCACCTCAGTCACCTAGGCTGGGTCACTTGGCATCATGCCGCAGCTCAGAGAGAGAAAGTGAGTGACTGTGAAGTCATTCAGTACTGCCCCTACCTCCCTGTCTCCCAGCCTTGGAATCTCAGCCCTACTTATGGTTCGCTGTGTGATCCTACCTAAGCGTCTTCACCTCTCTGAGCCTCTGAGGTGTCTTATAATAAAGAGAGGAGAGTCTTTCATGGTGGATCGAGGCTGTGGACAAAATTTCAAGTCTGGAGTCGGACAGACTAAAATTTTACCCCTGCCTCTGCCATCCTCTCGCTCTGTGACCTCCAGCCACACCATCTCCCTCTCTGAATTTCAGCTGCTTCCTTTGCCAAATGAGTCTGAAACCCCCTATCTCCTGAGAGATGGAGTGAGGCAGGGTGACAAAACAATTATTATTGTGTGCTCCAGAGCAGGAGGCCCTGCAGGCCCCAGCTGCGTGGGAGAGTTTCAGGGAGGAACCCCAACTGGCCAGACCAGAAGAGCTGGCGTCTTGGGAGGGAGTGGGACCCAGGGTGGGGAGTCTCCTCTTGCTCAGGCCTGCCTGCATCCTGGGTGCTGACAGCCTGCCCCCTCCCACCCCCTGCAACATGGCCTGTGACCAGAGAACAGGGGGAGGTTTAAATGCAGGGTCTATACTTATAACTACTCTATGACTCTCCCCAGCTCTCCTCCACAGGGGTCAATGCAAACAGGTTTAGAATCTGTTCCCGAGAGATGAACAGAGGGGTCAGTATGGAGGCACCAGGTTCCCAGCTCCGGAGGTCATGCCAGGGCGTCAGACAAGCCTGGGGACATCTGCACTCTGGGTTTCCTGTCCCCTGGGGAAGGGTGGGCTCTGGGCCCGGTGATGTTCCCAGCCTCCCTCAGACCCACTCCCTCTGGGATGTATCAGAGTAGGGGTGGGGTCAGAGCCAGGGTGGGGTCAGAGCCAGGGCTGGCTACATAATTTGCAGGGCTCAGTGCAAAATGAAAATATGAGGACCTGGTTCGAAGGGCAGGAAAGAGTGTAATGAAAGCTACTAAAGTAGAAATGCTGGGGATTTCCCTGGCAGTCCAGTCCAGACCCTGAGCTTCTACTGCAGGAGGTGTCATGGGTTCCATCCTTGATCTGGGAACTAAGATCCCACATGTCGCAGCGCATGGCCAAAGAAAAAAAATTTAAATAAATGCTACTTTCCTTTCTTTCTCCGTCTCTCCCAACCCCATATGTCATGTTCCCTTGGTCTAATGTCTAATGTCATGTTCCCTTGTGCACGGAATACTCATGGGACAAGCACAGACCCTCACAGGTGTCTAGAGACCCTGCCCCACAACTAAAGCATTCTGGTTGCTGGGTTCCCCTTCCACCTGTTGCCCGCTGCTGTGCCCCACCTGAGATGCCAGGAGGCACAAGTGTCTGACTCTCCTGTGGGCTCCCAGGCCCCTGCCGGGGCTGGTGGATGGCAGAGGTCACAGTGCAGGAGCGAGGAGGGGAAGGCAGACAGAACCTATCCCAGGGAGGCGGGAGATGACAGGTGTGGGACTTTGTTTGAGCCGAGGCCCCAACCCCCCCAGATCAAGCTTCACGTCCCTTCAGACTTCACTTCCAAAATGCAAATTCAAATGCGAAATTAAAAATTTCCAGATGGCAATCGCAGATGCTTAAATCCAAGAGAGCTCTTCTGAACGCAGGGAACTGTCAACCCCATGAGTCACATGCCTGGGAAGCTAGCCCCTGTAAGAAGACCCAGTTTGCAGACAGGCTGAGGGATGAAACAATCCAAAGATCCAGATATCTCATACCTGGAGGTAGAGGCCAAGGAACAGCTGGGGTCCGCAAAGGCCTGGGGTTGGGGTTGTTTGTATTCTGGGGCTTCAGGAGGACAACTGGATCCTTAAGGAATCCTGGGACAGGACACCCAGGACCGGAGGCGATGGGAACCAGAGGAATTGAATGCCTAGTTCCAGAAACGTTTAAGGGAGGAAAAGGCCTATTCCACACAGGGACAGCCTAAAGGGATCAAGGTTATACCTGGGGAGCCCAAGGGACTGTGGAAACCCATCAGGGATCAAGGAGAGCTTCCTGAAGGAGGGGACACCTTGTTGCTGTTGTTGTAGTTGTTTAGTCACTCAGTCGTGTACCATCAACTGCAGCACACCAGGCTTCCCTGTCCTTCACTACCTCCTGGAGTTTGCTCAGACTCATGTCTATTGACTCTGTGATGCCATCTAACCATTTCATCCTGTTGCTCCCTCCTCCTCCCGCCCTCAATCTTTCCCAGCATCAGGGTCTTTTCCAAGGGGACACCTTGGGTGAGACCTAAAGGGCGAAAAGTTCTGTCTGTCCTGTTCACCATCGCCCCATCCTCAGCATCTCTCTCATCAATTTATTCAACCATCAGACATTCCCTCAACACCTACTTTGCATACAGGCCCTTTGCTGTGTGTCAAGGACTCAGTAGTGATGGAAACAGTCCAACCCCTGCCTCCTGGAGTCCCCGCCCAGCACAGGAAACACACTCATCAGCATGGATGACCCAGAGGAGTCAAGGCTCCAGGGGGAAGGTGCAGGCAGAAGGATCAGGGCTGGGACAGGAGGCCCTGAGGAAACATCTGACTCAGAAGAATCAGGGAAGGCTTCCTGGAGAAGGAACCATCTGAGTTATGACCTAAATGATGAGTAGGGTGGAGTGGGGAAAGGTGACTTAGCAAAGGGAGTATTGGGTATATTATTTACCAAGATTGAGAGATGAAAGGATAATTTTTTTTCCCTTTCATGGAATGAAATGTGCCCTATGGTGCTGGGAATACAGCTATGACCAGGACAACCCTGGCTCTGCCTTCTTGGAGCCCCCAGTCTGTCGGGACATAGATCCATCACCAGTGATGACCCAGGATGTTCAGGAATGGACCGCGCGTGCGTGCCTGCTAAGTTGCTTCAGTCGTGTCCAACTTTTTGTGACCCAAT